ACAGAATGCATTGTGGGAATGGACACACACACACACACAATTTAAAACCTGTTATATAACCACCACCTGCTACTTAAACCTGTCCATCATGAAGGGCCCCTCCCCACTTTTTTTTTTGGTCAGTCATGGGTCTTGAACTCTGGGCCTGGGTGCTGTCCCTCAGCTCTTCAGCTCAAGCTAGTGCTCTACCACTTGAGCCACAGTGCCACTTCTGGTTTTCTGTGTGGTTTATTGGAGATAAGAATCTCACGGCTTTTTCTGCCCAGGCTGGCTTTGAACTGCCATCCTCAGATCTCAGCCTCCTGAGTAGCTAGGATTACAGGCGTGAGCCACCACACTCTGCTTATGAAGGCCCCCTTCTGTGGGAAGGACCTCTCTGGCTCTATCCCCAGCCCCAACTAACCTTAAACTCTCCAGACTCCATTCCTCAGGGCCATAGCGCTCTCTTAACTCAGGTGGCTCCCATGCAGAGAGGCAAACTTCCACTTTATTTTCTCATTGCTCTCACTTCAACAAACCTGTGCTCTCTCATTACGCATGTACTTTTCACTTGGTTCTTTGAGATGCCAACGACCTGGGATGATACCTAACCAAGACCACTTGTCGAGTAACAGCAGGAGTTGTTGGTATTCATGAGAGTAATAGTAAGATGAATCAAGGTAGAGAAGATGAATTGGGCTGGGAAGGTGGCTCAGTGGTAGAGTGCTTGCCTTGCATGCATGAGGCCCTGGGTTCAATTCCTCAGCTCCACATAAACAGAAAAAGCCGGAAGTGGCACTGTGGCTCCAGTGGTAGAGCGCTAGCCTTGAGCTGAAGGGCTGAGGGACAGCGCCCAGGTCCAGCGTTCAGGCCCCATGACCGACATCCCTCCCTCCAAAAAAAAAAAAAAGAAAGGAAAATGAATCAAAGTTAGGGAAGTCAGGAGAGATTGACTGAAATTGGAGGGAGCATTGGGTTAGAGGTCCTCATTCAGTTGTTCAGAAAAGACAATTTAAAGTCATAGTTGCTTTTTTTTTTTTTGTCATGGGGCTCGAATTCAGGGCCTGGACATTGTCCCTGAGCTTTTGTGCTCAAGGCTAGTGCTCTACCACTTTGAGCCACAGCCCCACTTCTCATTTTCAGGTTGTTCATTGGAGATAAGAGTCTCATGTACTTCCCTGCCTGGGCTGGCTTTGAACCATGAGCCTCAGGTCTCAGCCTCTTGAGTAGCTAGGATTAGAGGTGTGAGCCACCAATCGTTGGCTTAAAGTTTTGAGAGCAAGAGTTCTGTGAGGACAAGGTCCAATCTGCAGGGAGGTACATAGCTAGATTATGAGAAGAGGTTTTTGTTTATGAGAAAGTCACAAAGAGAAGTTATTGTGTGGGTTGCCATTATGACATTGAAGTTTCCAAGAATAAAAAGAGAGACACTGGGGCATAAGACTTTAGGAAGAGTGCTAAAGACTCCTGATCTTTCCCTCAAGATAGAAAACTGTGGCTTTTGGTTGTGGTTGTTGTTCGTGTAACTGTGGTTCTGAGTTCCCAGATTCTCTCCAAGCTCCCATGTCATCTGAGAAGTCAGGCTAGCAGGGGGGCGCCAGAGATTGTGACAGAAGTTCCTCAAGCTAAAGCTTTTTGGAAACAGAAAAGGTGGATTTTTATTGTTGTTAGCTGTTTCCTTTTTATTGTCAAAGTGATGTATAGAGGGGTTACAGTTACATAAGTAAGGTAATAAGTACATTTCTTGTCAAACTTGTTACTCTTTCCCTCATTTTTCTCCTACTTTCCCTCCCCCACCCAAGTTGTACAGATCATTTCTAACAGTGTCTTTTTTTTTAATTGTGAAAATACTGTACAGAGGGGTTACAATTACATGGACAAGATAATGAGTACATTTCTTATCAAGCATTGTTGCCTCCTCTTTGTTTCCCCTTCCCATCCTTTCCCATCCTCCCCCCCCGCCCCCCAACAGTGTCTTATATGTCACTGTTGCATTGGTTCCTCTCTTGAAAAGGTGGATTTTTATAAAGGAAGTTTACCCACTGCTATCCAGGGCTATTGTAACAATTACCACTACTTGGTGTCTTATAGCAGAAATTTATTCTCTCATAGATCCCTGAAATCCAAAATAGGTTTTATTTGTTTGGTACTAGTACTGGGGCTTGAACTCAGAGCCTAGAGCTCTTGCTTGGCCTTTGATGCTTAAGGTTGGCACTCTACCACTTGAGTCCAACTTCAACTTACAGCTTTTTGCTGGTTAATTGACATAAGAGTCCCTCAGACTTTTCTGCTTGGGCTGGCTTTGCACCTGCATCGTCAGATCTCAGCTCCTCATTAGCTAGGATTGTAGTTGAGCCACCGGCATGCCGTTGGGATGTTAGATTTTATTCAGTGCTTTTTCTTTATTTATTAAGATGTGTGTTTTGTCTTTTCTTAACATTGTATAGTTGGATCCTGATTCATAATTATGAATTTACAATCTTAGCCACTTGCTACAATTCATTCATGACTTCCAAACCAGTATCGTGGAACTTTTTTTTTTTTTTTTTTTTGCCAGTTGTGGGGTCTGAACTCTGGGCCTGGGCACTGTCCCTCAGCTCTTCAGCTCAAGGCTAGTGCTCTACCACTTGAGCCACAGTGCCACTTCCAGCTTTTTCTGCTATGTGGTGCTGAGGAATCGAACCCAGGGCCTCATGCATGCAAGGCAAGCACTTTACCACTGAGCCACCTTCCCAGCCCATCGTGGAACTTTTGTGGTCATGGTGGACAGGTTCAGACCAGAGGAAAATCTGAGTGACCCCCAATTCTCATGCTCCCAGCTGAGCGCACAGGGCAGCGCTGTATCTTCAATGGTTCTGAATTCACTCATTCAATGTTTGTGTGGTCTTACCAAAAGTAACCTCACTGAACTTTGACAATCCACCCTGTAGAGGTTTAGATATAACCAGTTTCATTTCACGGATAAATCTCTTTTGAGAATAGTATATAGTCCTTCCTTTATAGGTCACCGGGTTCAGCCTGCTAATATTTTGTTCGCGATTTTTACGTCTGTATTCCTAAGGGATACTGGTGTGTAGTTTTCTTGTGATGTCTTTGGTTTTGATGTCACAGTAACACTGACTTCCTAGCATGGGTTGGGAAGTGTTCTCTTTCTAGGAAGAGCTTGCGAAGAGCTGGTGCTCATTTTTATGTCTGGTAGAATTTGGCAGTGGAGTCCGGGGGTCTGGGATGGCCTGTGTGAGACTGTTAAAATTAGAATCAGGGCTAGGGGCATAGCTAAGTGGTAGAGGCCTGCCTGCACTGCAAGGCTCTGCGGTTTGTCAATTTTTTTTTTAAATTATCAGTTGTCTTTTAAGGCTCTATTAGATCGGACCAAAAGTGATAAGGAAATTATCTCCTAAGGCTAATAAAATCCCAAAAGAAAAACACGCAGCATGCTATTATGGAAGACCATATCAATGTTTGCAAGATTCAGATAAGCAGCTACTGAAAGCATTTCTATCTCTGTACTTTAAACAAATATTTCATCACTTTACAGTGGTTTCAGGAACTTAAAAGCAAGAAATTTCAGGCTTTTCTATGGAAGCCACACGTCTCCTTCCTGACACTTGCAGCCAGTCCTATAAACGAAAATTCGCACATTGCTCAATATAGACGGACATGCCTGCCTATCTACCTACCTGCCTAACGTAGGTGAGCTATCCACCTACCTACAACAGAACTCATCAGAAAGGCAGCAGTATGTAGTAGAAAACCACTGGGCTGGGATTCTAAAGATCTCAGTCCTGGTGACAGCTCCAATTCAGACAAGATGCTTCTACTAATTCCTCCCACTGCCTGTTGATTAAGAGAGTTCTTCTGGTATTAAAAAAAGACTTATTTTTTACAGAAATTCCATTCTCATAGCTTTTATTATTTTTTTTTTCTTTCGGTTATCGGGTTTGGACTCAGGACCTGGGTGCTGTTCTTGAGCTCTTTTGTTCAAGGCTAGTGCTCTACCACTTTGAGCCACAGCAACCTTTCTGGTTTTCTAGTGGTTAATTGGAGACAAGTGTCTCACAGACTTTTTCCTGCCTGGGCTGAATTCAAATTGTGATCCTCAGATCTCAGCCTCCTGAGCAGCTAGGATTACAAGGTCTGAGCCACTAGCACCTGGCTCATGGCTTTTCCTTCTGGTCAAAATGAATTTTGTGGTGACAGAGAATCATGAAAGTATTTGACAAGGTACACATATATACCCACGCATACTTTTTTTTTTTGTTGGTCGTGGGGCCTGAACTCTGGGCCTGGGCGCTGTTCCTCAGTTCTTCACTCAACGAGAGTGCTCTACCACTTGAGCCTCAGCACCACTTCCAGCTTTTTCTGCTTATGTGGTGCTGAGGAATCGAACCCAGGGCCTCAGGCATGCAAGGTAAGCACTCTACCACTGAGCCACCTTCCCAGCCCCTACCCACGCATACTTCATTTCCTAGTTTCAGTGTTCAGGATCAAACCCAGGGCCTCACACATGCCAGACAGATGTTCTACCACAGAATGGTATTTCCAAATCCTATACTTCATCCTCACAGAACAAATCATCCAATTGAGTTTTTTTGTGGCCAGGGCTGGGTTATTGGTCTTTCAGCTTGCTAGGCAGGTGCTCTACCCCTTGAACCATGTTTCCAGCCCTTTCTGCCTTATTTTTTAGATCTTGTGGTCTGTATTTTTTTTTGTCCAGCCTAGACTGGACCATGATCCTGTTTTGTATCTCACACAGGTTAAGATGAAAAGGGCAGCCCGGGCAGGAAAGTTCATGAGACTTATCTCCAATTAACCACCAGAAAACTGGAAATGGCACTGTGGCCCAAGTGGTAGAGTGCTTGCCTTGAGCTGAAGAGCTGAGGGACAGCGCCCAGGCCTAGAGTTCAAGCCCCACTACCGACAAAAAAAAAAAGTTGGAGGAAGTCTATGATTCATCTGAGCCCCTATGGATGAAGCGAGTAACTTTCTCTTTATATACACACATTTATATACACAGCTGGCTTTTCACAATGTCTCATTTTATTTCCGGTGAGGTATCTGACACTAGAATAATGATAAATACAAACAAGGTCACTGTTCAGAAATCCTGAGCCTGTCGGAGAAACTGAATGGCATCTCATCAGTCGTCTCTACCGGCACATTACTTCTACCAAACTGACAGGAGTAATGGTGGGTGGGGTACGTTGAAATGAAGGCACTGGGCGTCCGGCTGCAGTGACACCTGTCTGGCGGCACGCCGCTGTCTGGATTACCCAGGTGTGAGTGGTAAACACCACCGAACGAGTCCTGGTAATGCCCTGCGCCCCCCGAGGGGGCGGGGCCAGCCCCATCAGGCACGAGGCACATCTGAAAGCAGGCCCTCCTGCCCATGCCGCGGTGCATGTCCAGCCTGGCGATGAGCGGCTTGCCGACGCTCACTTCCTGCTTCTCCTCCACAGTGTCTTCCAGCCCCGAGTACTGATAGGATAAACACACGGTGAACACTAGGTGTTCCTAGAAAGGAAAAGAAGTCATGTTACTTCTTATCAGCTGTGATAATGCACCTGTCTTAAAATACCGCTCGTCCCCCAACAGCGACAAAAACATACTCAGCCCCCTTTCCCTGGACCAAATACCAAAGTCTTCCTCTCCATGTCCCTTCCCCCAGAAGGTTCAGCTGCAGTAATCTTCATTCCACACAGAGGAGTTTAGTAGAGCCTGAGTTCTTATGAAGGTAAGTAGTCAAAATCAGAGCCCTTCTATCCTCTTCCAGATGAAGAGTGGAGAGGTATTTCCAAGACTGGGGTTTGGACCTGCCCTTCCCTATTATCGGAGGTGGAGAACTGGCCTTTCCTGTAAAAACGATCTGGCTTTACACCTAAGGTAAGATGCCATAAAAATGTTAGGATGCTGGATGCTGGTGGCTTACATCTGTCATCTTAGTTATTAGGGAAGCTGAGATTTGAGGATTAAGGTTCAAAGCCAGCTCAGGCAGCCAAATCTGAGGGATTCTTACCCCCAATTAACCAGCAAAAAGCTGGAAGTGGAAGACAAGCTCAAGTGGTAGAAGGCAAGCCTTATGCAAGAAAGCCACATAAAAGTCTATGGTGGGGCTGGGAAAGTGGCTCAGTGGTAGAGTGCTTGCCTTGCATGCATGAGGCCCTAGGTTCGATTCCTCAGCACCACAAAAACAGAAAAAACTGGAAGGGGCACTGTGGCTCAAGTTGTAGGGCACTAGCCTTGAGCTGAAGATCTGAGAGACAGCACACAGGTCCAGAGATCAGGCCCCACGAACCACACACACACACACACACACACACACACGTGTAACACACACACACACACACACACACACGTGTAAGGTCCTGATTTTAAGTCCCAGAACAAGCACACAAAAATATGAGATAATAACTGAACCAGAACAAGCACACAAAAATTTGAGATAATAACTGAACCAGATAATACTAAGAAGAGAATTTCAGTAGACTGGTTATAAACAACTGACAACAGGTGTATGTCTTGCTATGTAATCACTGAGTGCCCTTTCCATTCCCCAATTTTTGGCTGCATTCTATGATCCTGTAGCTATGGGTAAACTACAAACTCCACTCTTACAAGGATGTGCTTGTATTAAAAAGCTTAACCATGTAGAGCTAGCTTATTTACAAGAAAAAAGATTAAAAAGTCCCACATTTTCAATAGCCAAATATGCTCCCAGGCTGGCTGGGCCTGGGTGGCTCATGCCTCTTATCCTACCTCCTCAGGAAGCTCAGTTCCAGAAGATCACAGTTCAAAGCTAGCCAAGGCAGAAAATTCCTTCCCAGCTTCAATTAACTAGCAAAAAAGCTAGGTTGGAAGTGTGGCTTCAGTGGTAGAAAACCAGTCAGTGTAAGTGTGAGGCCTTAAGTTCAAACCCCAGGACCAGCATATACACAAAAAATACCCTAAAACAAAGAGTCCTCAGGCTACCATCAGGTAGAGGATTTAATATAAAAAGGGTCTCTGTGAAGACTTGCTACAGATCAGTTAACTCTGTTTCAAATGAATATCCAAGAAAGCAGCCTGTCCATGGGCCATGCCACAATCTAGGTTCAGTTTCACATTGTTTTTTATTAGCTCTAAACAGGAAAGTACTTACCTTTAATTTTTGCAGTGAACTGAGTCTAGTATATAGGCAATGCTTGGGAAGCTCCTTTGATACTAAATAGCTGCCTGTTTCTTCAGGAGTTCCTTTATTTGCATCTTTTGGATCAATATCTAGGTCCTGTAAAAAAAAAACAGTGAAATGTTTATAACAAAATTGATGAAGGTTTCAACATTGTCTATAACACCAAAACATTTTGACACTTAGGAGGTATTTAAGTCTCTCACAAGTGTTGGCTTGAGTACATAATCTCTTATTCAGGACTAATGAAACAGGAAATGGACATTCTCTGGCCATTCAAAATCCTAATGTATTTAAAATGCATTTCAGAGCTGACTCTGAAAGGGTAGTGTCCTTTCAAACTGTTCCTTGAAACACTTCCTATTCTACTGAAGTTTCTTTTCAGTAGAGAGCCGTATTGGTGTTTGACTCCTGGATTCTCTCTCTCTCTCTTTTAGCATCACTTTGGGAAGATACAGGATTTTTATGTTTAGAATGTTTGAGAGGAATAGGTCTGCTGCATGGCTCAAGTGGTAGAGTGTTTGCTAGCAAGCTGGAAGTCCTAGGTTCAAATCCTAGCCCTACCAAAAATTTTAATAATAAATAGGCAACACAAAGCCAGCCATTCCTTTCTTCTTTTGCAGCCTGCAAAAGAAGAGGTAGCCTGCTCCTCCAGAAAGAAGCCAGTGGCTCTGACCTACCCTGTGAAGTGCTACTATCTCTGGAAGCCCAATAGACTTATTTGGGGTTTCATGCTACATCATTTGCTTTCACAAGAAGCAATGTCCTCCACAAAGTCTCTCTAAGTAATGAAAGCCAGATTTATTTTTCACTTAGTTCTTGCTTACTTCTCTATTTGTCAAATCTATACAGGAAAGAGGGGAAATCTATACAGGAAAGAGGGGAAATCTATACAGGAAAGAGGGGAAATCTATACAGGAAAGGGGGGATATCTATCTATCTATCTATCTATCTATCTAGCCTTTTTTATACCAAGATAAAATAAATACCATAAACAGAACTAAATTGATACTCTCTCTATATCCTACCAAAACTTGAGGCTTGCATTGTTATAGTAACTTATATTGGAAAGAATAGTTTCTTTAAAAACTTACCCTTAGTCAGGTGCTGGTGGCTCACACTTGTAATCCTAACTACTCAGGAGACTGAGATCTGAGGATCATGGTTTAAAACCAACTTGGGCAGGAAAGTCCACGAGACTCATCTCCAATAATTCACTCAGAAAAAGCTAAGTGTGGTGCTGTGGCTCAAGTGGTAGACCACTAGTCTTGAGCATAAAGAGGCTCAGGGACTGCATACGGGCCCTGTGTTCATGCCTCAGGACCAGCAAAAAAAAAAAATACTCTTGACATACCTATAGAGTATTTTATTCTTTTATTTTTGATATTCTAATTTAGGGTCTTAAAGTGTTTTAGCAATTACAGTGTTATTAAACTAAACATAAACTTGCACATTTATTTATTTTCTTTGTTTATTTATTCTTTCTTTCTTTTACAGTGCTAGGGGAAGGAATGCAGGGCCTTCCATACACTAGGCAAGTGCTGTACCACTAAGCTACATCCTCAACGCAAAAGGGGAGTCTTGGGTTGGTAGCATGGCTCAGGTGGTAAAGTGCTTGTCTAGCAAGTGCAAGGCCCTGAGTGCAAACCTCTGTATTGCCACACACACAAAAGAGCCTTTAACAAGCAAGAACTTATCATTGTACTTTAAATTAACAAGAAAAAGACTTACAAGTGGGAAATCGGTAACATAAGCATCACACATTATTATCTCAGGTGGTTTGTGGACTATACTCGTATAGATTATCATGACATTGGAAAACTCGGCTGCAAATCCTAATTGAATCTGAACACCACACTGAAATTTAAGGCACATGCTTTCTGGAAGTTCTGGAAGAGAACAAGGAGAACTTATAAAAATTATTTAGAGAGTTTTCATTTACAAGGAATATAAATACTACTTCTACCTGAACATTTCCAAAAGAAGATCTCATTAAAAATTTAAAATTTTGATCTGATGGGATAAAAAAGAAGTATACCACTCAAAATTTTCTTTATTGACTATTTACAGTTGCCATTTCCTATATTTCTTTCTTAATTATTGATACATTTCTACCTGTGGAGATTGCTGGACTTGCGATATTTATTTTCTGTTTACTTAAACATTTTTTGGTAGCGTTGAGGACTGGACGTTTGGCCCTGCACCTGTTAGGTGAGTGCTCTAGCCATCAACTGGGAAAAGCCTCAAGCCCCTTTGTATTTTCATTTTTGAGACAGTCTCATTAGCTATGCTTGTATTGGCCTCAAACGTGCAATACTCTTGCTTCCACCTCCTGAGCAGCTGGGATCATAGGTGTGTGCTAGCATGCCCAGCTAATTTCCTTATTTGGTGAGGGAGAGATCCTAGTTATTATTTTGCATGGGCTCTTCACTGAAAAATCATCTCATTAAGTTTGTTTCAATTACTTTCTCTTGAACCTAAAGGTAGACAGACTAAAGTATATCCACACCTTTCCACCAATGAGGAAGGTCTTATTAGGTGACCCTGGCTGGCCTTGATTTCTAGGTCTTCTTCCCCCAGCCTGCTGAGTTTTAGAACTGAAGGCATGCACTACTGCCCCTGGCTTAGTTTCATCTTATAAAATATTTTGTTTACTAGTCACCTTAAAAAAATTCTATTATTTTGGAAGTGGCGCTGTGGATCAAGTGGTAAAACACGCTAGCCTTGAGCTGAAGAGCTGAGGGACAGCGTTCAGGCCCCACAACCGGACCCAAAAAACAAAAAATTCTATTATTTTACAGTACTAGAAATCCAACCAGGGACTCACCCATGCTAAACAAGTGCTCCATTATTGAACTACATCTCCAGCTCTGTTGATCTTTTACTATAGTTTTGTTTTTGTTTACATTTTCTTTTGTGAAATCCATCCAATTACTATTTAGCTAGTATCGTGTTTTAAACTCAGGGCTTCATTCTTGCTTGCTAAGTTGGTGCTCTACCACTTGAGACATGCCTCCAGCCTGGATTTTTACAGATTAGAGATGAAAGAATTTTCTGCCCAAGCTAGCTTCAAACTGTGATCCCCCCATCTCAGCTTCCTGAGTAGCTAGGATCATGGGCATAAGCCTGTATTATCCACCAGCCTGGGCTACATAGCAAGCCACTAACACATAGCTGAATTTGAACCATTTATGCAGTTATCTGGGATGCTAAGATAGGTATAGCACTTTACCTTTTAATGTGTACTAACATATTTACCAAAATTATATCTTAAAAAACAAAGAATTTAAAAAGAAAATGTGCCAGGTGCTGGTGGCTCACACCTGTAATCCTAGCTACTCAGGAGGCTGAGATCTGAGGATAGTGGTTTAAAGCCAGCCCAAGCAGGAACATCTGTGAGACTCTTATTTCAATCAACCACCAGAAAACCAGAAGTGGTGCTGTGGCTCAAGTCGTAGAGCGCTAGTTTTCAGCTGAAGTGCCCAGGGACAGCGCCCGGACCCAGAGTTCAAGCCCCACGACTGACCAAAAGAAAAAAAAAAACACAAGAAGAATTTGTGTGTGTGTGTGTGTGTGTGCACGCATGTGTGCGCGTGTGTGTGTGCTGGTACTGGGACTTAAAACTCAGGGTCTCATATTCTGACTGAGCTTTTTTTTTTTTGCTCACATGCTGGCATTCTACCACTCAAGAAAGATATTTCATAGGATTTCAATAAACACAATTATTTTTCTATTAGTTCTAATAAGAGACTCACAGTGTAGATAGCTGGGAACTAAAAGAAAAAGAAACATCTTTACTTCAGTCAATAATTTAAACTTACTTTTCAATAACTCACACAGAATTGCCAAAAGTAACTAAGCTAGAGACTGACTTTTCACTTCATCTCTTGTCTTTATTATTCTACACATGGGGAGAAGATAGTGATATTTATGAGCCACACTGGTCTCCACAGGTGAGCTCTGCCTCAGCCTCAAACGCTCCACTCGGCAGCAGGGCTGCAGCTCACCACATTGTATAAATGACAAGTTTGCATCCTGGTACAGCAGGTCAGAGCCCGACCTGTCTGACCCCCGATAGTGTCTTACTCCCAGTGACAGCACAGGAGAAGCTAAAGACTATGGACCAAGACAAAAAATAAGCTCATTTTAAAATTAGAAGAACATGGTCATTTAAATTTTACTAACAGGATAAATAATGAAGTAAACAATTTGACAGGTCTAACATCAAGGAAATTGTGGGATATTTACAACAGAAACATGTGCCTAGGTTTGGATAGGTCAAACATTTTCACCATAAAATTGGGAAGAAAGCTATTTAGTCAGAAGAAAAAGCCTTTATGATGTCAATAAATTTGTAATAATCTCACAAGACGTGGATTTGACCATACCGTGAGCCTTGGCCCACTGCAGATTGCGCACCAGAGATTCTGCAGAACAAGCGGTCCCCTGAATTGGATCCGTGAGTGCTCTCTTTTCAGATAAACTGCTTCGTATCTCTAGAGCCTGTTTGCCTTTGGTAAGGTGACATTTACCCATATCTAAAAGAAAGAAAAGTAAATATTAGCTGCTGGTGGTTCATGCCTGTAATCCTAGCTACTCAGGAGACTGAGATCTAAGGATAGTGGTTCAAAGCCAGCTTAGGTTTGAAAGTCCATGAGACTCTTAGCTTCAATTAACCACCAAAAAGCTGGAAGTCGAGCTGTGGCTCAAGTGGTAGAACACCAGCCTTGAGCTAAAAATGCTCAGGGACGGTGCTCAGGCCCTGAGTTCAAGCCCCAGAACCAGAACCAGTGCACACGTTACCGCCCACCCCCCCTACTTCCCCCCCCTCCCCCCCCAGCGCCCCAACACACACATCAAGTAAATATTATCTTTAAGACAATAAATTCTTCTCTGTTTTAATTCTTTAGTCTAGCTTGGTGCCAGTGACTCATACCTGTAATCCTAGAGACTAAGATCTGAGGATCTCAAAACCAGCCCAGACAGAAAAGTCTGTGAGACTCTTACCTCCAATTAACCACTATAATACCTGCTTAAAAATCTGGCTCAAGAAGCCGGGCGCTGGTGGCTCACGCCTGTAATCCTAGCTACTCAGGAGGCTGAGATCTGAGGATCGTGGTTCAAAGCCAGCCCGGGCAGGAGAGACCGTGAGACTCCTATCTCCAATAAACCACCAGAAAACCGGAAGTGGCGCTGTAGCTCAAGTGGTAGAGCGCTCGCCTTGACCTGAAGAGCTGAGGGACAGCGCCCAGGCCCAGAGTTCAAGCCCCACGGCCGACAAAAAAAAAAAAATCTGGCTCAAGGGCTGGGAAGGTGGCTCAGTGGTAGAGCGCTTGCCTTGCATACCTGAGGCCCTGAGTTCGATTCCTCAGCACTACATAAGCAAAAAGAAAAAAGCCGGAAGTGGCACTGTAGCTCAAGTGGTAGAGCACTAGCCTTGAGCTGAAGAGCTGAGGGACAGCGCCCAGGCCCAGAATTCAGGCCCATGACTGACAAAAAAAAGGGTGGGGCTTAAAACTCCCTATCCAGTACTATAAAAATCTGGCTCAAAGTGATAGAGGGCTAGACTTGAACAAAAAGCTTAGGGATAGCTCAGGCTCTGAGTTCAAGTCCCATGACTGACTAAAAGAAAATGTAGTCTAAGATATACATAGAGCACAGTACCTTTCTTATAAAGTTTAAACAACTTAAATACAAATATACAACCATTTAAGGAACATAATACAAACTCAATAAAACAATGTAAGAAGAAAATTAAGGGAATGATCAACAAGATTTAGAATGGAAGGAAGGCAGGGAAGAGACAGAGGAAATACATACTTAGATACAGGTTGCTGTCAAGGTCTCAGATTTATTTTAAACAGCCATCCATAAACACTCCAAAAAGCACTTTCATGGATATGTAGACTATCAAAAATAATTATGTATTTTTTTTTTGCTAGCAGTTCTTAAAAATTTATACAGCAACATGGTTTACAGATACCTAAAAGCCATACTGACCAACTAAATTAATAAATGCTCATTTTGTCATTTCAACCAACTTAAAAAGGAAAATCCCAAACACAAAAACACAAAACCCTGAAGATATAGACTGACTACAGCAAGAAATGTATTTCCTAGTTTGTTTGTACACAGTTGAAATTCATGTGTTTTTCCCTCCAACTGCTTGGCTTCTCTATCTCTGTCTGAAAACTTTTTTCCCTTGAACTGTTGTGTTGTTTTGTTTTCTGGGTCTCACTATGTAGCTCAGGCTGTCCTATATTTGCTAGACAGCCAAGCTGACCTTGAACCTGCAATCTCCCTACCTCTGAGTCCTGAGTGCTGGAGTTACAGGTATGCACTATCACATCAGTTTCCTTTAATATTTTTAAATTAATTAATTCAGAAGATCCAAAGAGAAGAGTAGGAATATTTTACTTCAAAGTTTACTTGTAAGCAATTTATGACAACTACTTTTGTTCTTCTCTAACCAACAGAAAGGGTTAGATATAAAGCACACAAGATTCAAAGTGCTGTACTTAACTATACTGTATAATTATCATGATTCTATTAAGCTTTAAATTGTTTTGTTTTGGTTGGTCATGGGGCTTGAATTCTGGGCCTGGGTGCTGTCCCTCAGTTCTTCAGCTCAAGCCTAGCACTCTACCACTTGAGTCCCAGTGCCACTTCTGGTTTTCTGAGTAGTTTTATTGGAGATAAGAGTCTTACGGCCTTTCCTGCCCTGGCTGGCTTTGAAGCATGATCCTCAGATCTCAGCCTCCTGAGTAGCTAGGATTACAGGTGTGAGTCACCGGTGCCCAGTACCTTTAATTGTTTTGTAAAGCTGGTGAGCTCTTATTGCTGATGGGAACAATGCTCATGGCACTAACACAACACACACGTGTACATATAGGCATACATGCGCATACACAGCACACATATCCATATATAATATACATGCACATACAACACACATGCATACACACATGCATATACATAACACACATGCATTCACACATGTATGCACACATAGTCTATTATTATAATTTTAAAAAGACAAGGCAGGTCTGGAGATAATTGGTAAAAAGCAAAACTTCCTACAAGTTTATAAGAAACTCAGTTGCACGCACAGCAATACTAGTTGCTGTGGCAACTTGGGAACTATATATGAGACAGCATGTGCTTTATGTTTTTAAAATCTCAGTTTGAGAATAATTACCATAATCCAAAAATCATTTATTTATATTTATATCTTAAAGCAGTAGAATACTTTCTTCCTCCCCCTTCCCAATAAAAGCTTAGAGGAGTCTAGTACGCAATATGCAGAAGCTAAGTGTCACTGTAGCAGGAGGGGATGAGCAATGTTAACTCCAAGTTGCCATTAACTCTAGCTGCTCCCGTCTGATAAACACATTGTCCTGGGCTTAAATCGAAGCCCTATCTCCAAAATAGTCCGAGCAAATAAAAAAGGGCTATGGGTGTGGTTCAAGCAGTAGAGTGCCGGCTGGCAAGTGCAAAGCTCTGAGTTTAAACACTAGGACTGCCTCCTCAAAAATGACTAATTCCAGATTCACAGTACCAGTAACAATAAAGCAATCACTAAGCAGAGAACCCTGAATTGGTTTATAGCCCCTTTATCTTTTTCCTAGTGATTTCTCTTTTCAAAAACAAAAAAAAGTTACCCTCTGCAACTTCATCCAGTAACACAGTAATTTTCTTGTCTTCTAATAGTCTATCTTTTAGAAATTTCATGAAGATTCCATTTGCCAATCCAGAATGCTGGATCTCAAAAGCTTCTGCTCCTTGACACCTTAAAAGTACCCAAAGAAAGTGAAATCAGTTGGATTCAGATAAATTAATATCCTGTCTTTTTACTTCCAAGTGAAAGTAAAAAGGTGAACACAGGGGGAAAGGCAGAATACTGGTTAGCGAAGTCAGGAAGAAGAGGGAGCGTGGCGATGTTAGCTGAAGGGCAAAATGCTTCTGTGAGACAGAAGAAATAAATTAGTATCTAACGTGATGAATATGTTAATTAGCTTGATTCAATCATTTCATCACTTTGTACTCCATAAATATATGTATTTATAATTTGTCAATATTCAATCAAAACTTTTTTTTAAAGGGAAAAATTTTCCTCCATCCTGGGGCTTGAACTCAGAGCCCAAGTACTGTCCCTGAGCTTCTTTGACTCAAGTCTAGCGCTCTATCATTTGAGCCACAGCTCTGTTTCTGGCTTTTTTGGTAAGTTATTGGCGGTAAGAGTCTCATGGATTTTCCTGTCCAGCCTGGCATTGAACCATGATCCTCACAGATCTCAGCCTCGTTACAGGCATGAGCCACTGGTGCCCAGCTAAAAAAAGGAATTTTTAAAGAAGCAAACACTTGCCGGTAGGATGTCCAGGAACACTACCATTCGAATGGCACTCTAATAAACAAGTTCATCTTCCAGCAGGAAGTAAATGCTTTGGTGCTGAGTGATAAGATACCAAGACTGGGGGCTGGGAAGGTAGCTCAGCGGTAGAGTGCATGTCTGGCAAGCATGAGGCGCTGGGTTCGATTCCTCAGCACCACATAAACACAAAAAGCCGGAAGTGGCGCTGTGGCTCCAGTGGTAGAGCGCTAGCCTAAGAGCTGAGGGACAGTGCCCAGACCCAGAGTTCAGGCCCCATGACCGGCAAAAAAAAAAAAAAAGATACCAAGACTGGAGTGCTAAAGTCAATTATTTACAGGTTTTTACAAAGAACAAAAAGAAGGCAAATGTATGCCTAGATGTCTGTGGATATTTCAAAGGTGTCTAATCTACAACAAGAAGACATAAATGATTAACAGGAATCTCAGTGCAGTTTCCTTACGTGGCATATCCAAACACAATATTGGCAGTGACTTTTAGTGCATCCAAGATTGGGATGGTATCATCATAGTCATTTCTGTTTGGAAAAAATAAGGGCGGATAAAATAAACAGGTTAAAACAGAATTCTTCCACAAAAACAATGGAAAATACAATACTACATTAGTATACATAATTTAAAATTATAGGTGCAAAATTCTTTTCATCCTGTCAGCACCATATCTACCAAAAAGAATCCAAGATTCCTAATCATTGTTTTCTTTTCTTGAGATAGGCTCTTATTAAGGAGCCCAGGCTAGCCTCAAAGTTAGGATCTTACTGCCTTAGCCTCCAAAATGCTTGTATAGATGCATGTCGGGCTTGCATGTCTGGCTTATCTGTTAAGTTTTAAAACTGAAGTTGTGTTTGAATTTTGGCATTGGATTTTGATGAGTAATCAAAAAATGAGTAAACTGGTAAGGAATTGGTTCTGTTCCTTAGGGATGCAATGGCAGACAAATGGGATCCAAGATTTCAAACATCTACTTCGGCTGTACTTTGTACCTTTGCAAGAATATGCCATGCCCTGACTCTAGGGTTGTGGTTCTGTTACTTATTGAAGGGATAGCTGCAGGGGCTGGAAGAGCCGTGCAGCAGCATTCTAGAGAGCTGACTTCTTGTGTTGGAGTTCTTCATTTTCTTCCATACCAAAGATGTAAAGAGTTACAATAACTAAGCATCCATAGCAAAAATATGTTGTCCTCATCTACCTTTGGTTTCAATTCACAATCAGAAAGTCATAAACTCATATGGTTCTTAGTCTCTCCCGGGCTTGCCTGAGGTGTGTCAGTTAATTTACATACAAAAATTATTTAATCAAGATGAGATATTTTACCTTTTCCTACACATGTCCAGCAAGAATACATTGAGTCCAGTTTCTTTTTCTTGCATTAATTTCAATATACTCTGAACACACAGACAATTTTCAGACCTATATGGATTTGGAGCATCAATAGGGACCATAAAACTGTTCCCAAAGTTTTCATAGCCATGTCCTGCATAATATAATAACCCTGGAGGCGGGAGGGAGGAAGAGGGCAAGACGGGCAGAGACGGAGAGAAGGGAGAGAAGAGGTAAGTGTTAACTCTATATGTGCTTTGAACATATACACAGCACATTTGAAAAGTCACTTATTTTCTTCAGTCTGATATAAGCAAATTTAAGAAATAACCAATTATGATGTTAATTTGCATTTTAAGTTATTTTGGCAACATTCTTTACTTAAATTCTGTTTTAAAACAATAGCAAGATGCTGTCTTATGTACAATCTACTTCATAAAAGTAATATAGTTAATAATATACAATTTTATCTTCTTCAGCGTAGAAAGAGTATAATTTTTATCCATGCATTCTTGGCATGGGGAAGGGACCTGGTAAAAATTTAATAGATGACCAAAGTAACATAATTCAAGATGCTCAAGTGTGTACACAAATGATTATATATATACACACACTATATAAAGTACAATGTATATATATATATACAGGTTTATATATATGTATATATATTTTTTGCCAACTGAAGTTAACTCATTTAAAACAAACTACATTTTCTTCTCCCCAAATGACTTGTGCAATATGTAAGCACCGTGAACCAAAGCATGCAACCAGTTATATCAATGGGAATTATGTTTTATGTAAAACAATCAAGTCAAATCAGTGTATTTCTAAAAATCTATCTCTAATACTGAATTCATTACAATGTTCAAAGATCGAGGACAAAAACTGATATGTTTGGAAATGTCAAATAATACTTAGTTAACATATGATTCTGAAAATTAAACTTTTAGAGACTTTTATTTCTTGGCAACATGATGTAAGAATCCAGTTTTTCATGGCTATTTATTATTTCTGAAAATAGAGAAAATACGTGGAAAATTCTCAGCTAGGTGTGGTGCACATTTATAATCCCAGCACTTGGGAGGCTGAGGCAGGAGGTTCCTGTTTGAGGCCCTGTCTCAAAACACAATAATGACAATAAAAATCAAACCCTGTATGTTCTTCTCCTGTGAATATCCTCGTTTGGTATCACTGTGTGTGAGACCTATATAACAGCACTCTATCACTTGAGCCACACCACCACCTTCAGCTTTCTTTCTTTTTTATTTTCTGGGTAGTTTATTGGAATGAGTCTCATGGGGAATTCTCTGCCTGGGCTGGCTTCAAACTATGATCCTCTCTCAGCCTCCTGAGTAGCTAGGAGTTCAGGCATGAGCCACTGGCACTCAGCCACTACAGGGATTTGACCTCAAGGGTTTTCACTGCTAGGCAGGAACTCTACCATTTGAGTCATGCCCTTATCCCCTCCCCTTTCTGCTTTAGCTATTTTTCTAATAGAGTTTTGTGATTTTTGCTGGGAACCAACCTCAGACTGCTACCTTCCTACTTGCATTTCCCTAGGTAGCTGGGATTACAGCTGCCAGCACAATGCCCATCTTGTTGTGATGGGAGTCTTACTGTTTTTCCCCTAGCTGTTCTCTACTTCTCGAAAAGCATGAGCCATCACACCTGGCTGTGTGTGTGTGTGTGTATGTGTGTGTTTCTCACTGCTTCTAGTTAACTAGTTTTGAAAGTCTTTTCCTAATTAAGCCATGCAGGTACCCTAAACTCTGAGAGTTAGATAATATGAATATATTCAAACAATCCACATGATTCTAGAATGAAAACATACACAAGTTGCCAAAAGGTCTATTATATAGTACATTTTTGACTACTCTTTAAGAAACGTGAAGGGATATTCCCATTAGTCACTACTTCGTAGTATTTGGAAAGAAAATTTATTCACATAGACTCTGAGCCTTTTCCTCATCCCTTAGAAGCTGAGATCTGAGGATTGCAGTTTGAAGCCAGCCTGGGCAGAAAAATCTCTGTGAGACACTTTTTTTTTTTTTTGGGTCCAGTCATGGGGCCTGAACTCTGGGCCTGGGCACTGTCCCTCAGCTCTTCAGCTCAAGGCTAGCGCTCTACCACTTGAGCCACAGCACCACTTCCGGCTTTTTTTTTTCTTTTTGCTTATGTGGTGCTGAGGAATCGAACCCAGGGCCTCTGGCATGCAAGGCATGTACTCTACCACTGAGCCACCTTCCCAGCCCCACTGTGAGACTCTTATCTCCAATGAACAACTCAAAAACTGGAAGTGGCACTGTGGCTCAAGTGGTAGGGTGCTAGCCTTGAGTGAAAAAGCTCAGGGACAGTGCCCAAGCCTGGAGCTCAAGCACCATGGCCAACAACAACAAAAAGCCAAATTGACACCTTTTGTTTATAACTTGTAGGCCTAAGAACAAGCTTGGAAAAGTCATTTTCCTGGCAGCCACATATTATTGCACAATATCCTGGTAAGCACATCCTGTGAAATACAGTTCAAATGAGCCCCACTCATTTTGTCTTCCCATATTTGGAATTAAATTACTACAAGCCTATTCTATCTCTGAAAATCCTTTATGATATGCAGTGTTACTAACATGTAAGTTAAAAAATGGGGAAAAAACTTAAAATGTACCACTATAACTTTTGTGGAAATGCATCTTGAGTCATAGATGTACAAAATTTAAATTTATAAATTGAAAGAGTTGAGTATATAGCTTAGTGGTAGAGAGCTTGTCTACCATGTGTAAGGTGAGTTCAGTTTTGAGCACTGGAAAAGACAAAGAATGCTTTCATATGATTCATTAAGACTTCCTCATTAAATTCTAATTTTCACTAAAAAAATAGAAAATAGCATGAAACATTTAGAAAAAGGCCACATGTACATACTATTTAACTTTTATATTAAAAATCCCCACACAGCATATTTTGCATATATAACTGTACTATCTATCTATCTATCTATCTATCTATCTATCTATCTATCTATCTATCTATCTATCTATCTATCTATCTATCTATCGGTGCCGGTTCTGGGGCTTGAACTCAGGGCCTAGGCACCATCCTTGAGCTTTTATGATTAAGGCTAGTACTCTACTACTTGAGCCACAGCTCCACTTCTAGTTTTTTTTTTGGCAGTTAATTGGAGATAAAGAGTCTCACAGGTTTTCCTGCCTGGGCTGGCTTTGAACCTTGAGCCTCAGATCTCAGCTTCCCGAGTACCCAGGATTATAGGTGTGAGCCACTAGCACCAGGCTACATTTTACTATTTGTTCATCAAGCTTTACTATAGTTTTCATAGTCAAACAAAATAAAAAAGGAAAATTACAAATGACAGGTAAGAATTCCAATAAGAACATTTTGACAAAACAAAAAAAACCAAGAAGACACTAAGAGAATTCATTATTTATATCAAATTAAGATCAAACTTTTGTAAGAAAAAATTCAGTTTGACAATGTATTTACCTTATTTTTATTGGATTTTCAACTCTTACCCTAGCTTGAATGATGAGAATAGTAGATAATTATGAAAATGAAGATTAGAAACATCTCACCATATACTCCTTTGTCTAAAAGCAGCAGGAATTCGTCCACAGCATTACACATCTCATATTCGGTGAGGTCCAACAGTGAAACCACTTTGAAGTCTAGCTGCCTCAGTAAGTTAGTCAGTTCATACACATCCACCAGAGGAGCTTTAAGCTTGGGGTGTTCCCAGTAATTCATATTTCCTATCAATAGAGCAACCTTGTCCTTTGCTGTAAAAAAATGGGGGAGCATTTAATGGAGGACATAAAGACTAAACTTGTGGAAATTATATCACAATAACAATTTTAAGACTGAACTATTTCAAGTAAGGTTTATTTCTATTTTTTTATTTCGATTTCTTTTTTTTTTGTTGTTGTTGTTGGTTGGAAGGCTTGAACTTGGGGCCTAGGAGCTATCTCTGAGCACTTTTTCTTTTTTTTTTTTGCTTATGTGGTGCTGAGGAATTGAACCCAGGGCCTCATGCATGCAAAGCAAGCACTCTACCATTGAGCCACCTTCCCAGTCCCTCTCTGAGCACTTTTGCTCAAGGTTAGCACTCTACCACTTTGAGCCACAGCGCCACTTCTGGTTTTCTGGTGGTTAACTGGAGGTTAAGAGTCTCATGGACTTTCTTGCCCAAGTTGCCTTTGAAGCATGATCCTCAGATCTCAGACTCTTGAGTAGCTAGGATTATATTCATGACATATAGCACCTGGCATCTATTAAATTTCATTGTAGAAGTATCACTTATGTAGGAGACTAATACACTGAGAGGAACATATAGGCAAAAGCATCAAACAATTGCAATTAAAATTTATAGAGACCTTTGAAAACTAGGCAAAGGTATTTATTAATTATATGAGAAGCATAACATTAACTAGTAAAGAAATGTAATTTCATTAAACTACAGCATAACATAATATTCAACTAGATTTTTCGAACAAATTTAAACAAGGAATGTTTAAAATTGGATTTCTATAAAATTAGGTTTTGTTTTGCAGAGAAAAGAGGGACAGGAAGAAGTCATGTGAGCAAGCTCAAATAAGCACAAGAAAGGGGAAGACTTGAAGAGAATGGCAGGAACTTCACAAGGATTACATGCTTCATTTCTGTAGTAGCTGTGTTTCTTAAAAAAAAAAACAAAAAACCAACCATTTCCTGTTTGGGATAAGGCTCTGCGGGGGTATGTGATGACTATGTGAATGTCACTTAACAGCTCACGTTCTCAACAGTGCACTGAGACTTTCCTCAAAGATTGTGGGTTCTTACAGGAAACAAGTTTGACAGGTGGACCAAAGACCTGTACCTCTGTCTTAAAAAGTACTAGCCAGCTCAGGTCTGTAGCCTGTCCTGAACAGTCTTGAAAGCTGGATGCAACTTATGGCTGCACCTCTGCTGCTCTGGAGTTGGGTCAAGGGGTTTAAACAAACCTACTGCATTGCTACTGGTATAAAATATATAGTGCAATAACTAGCATATGTCTGAGACAAGCAGAAACGGTCAGATAAGTTGATGTTAGGTGAAATGAACCCCAAGATAAGGACTCAAACGGTTTTTCTTTCTTGCTATTGTTTCTAACATATTTATAAGTTGATTTCTTTGTTGCTTTGTATGTCCCTCTCCCATGGTATAACTCCTGTTTTCACTGTATTTGATGTTGGCATAATTTGGGGAGGGGAAGGGAGAAAACAAATTGTTTAAATGGGGATACAGATGGACCCATTGCAACAATGAGATGTACTAGATGTTATGTGGAAAAATGAACTTTATAACTTTGGTGCAGGGGGATGGCGGGGGGGGGTGGCGAGTGGGTGGGTGAGGGATGGGAAGGGATGGGAAGGGGAAACAAAGGAGGAAGTACCAATGCTTGATGAGAAATGTACTCATTACCTTGCTCATGTAATTGTAACCCCTCTGTACGGTATTTTCACAATAAAAAAATAAAATATAGTGCATTCAATTATATGACACATGGCACACAGTAGCTAATGATGAGAAATTACTGCTACTGGCTCACCTATCTACTACATTATACTTTTCAGTGTCCTTTTATTGTACAAGCACATATGTACTTTCTGCTTATAAATTTACCGTTCAACCCTCTGTGGTAAGCCAACAGTAGCCTCATCCATTGTACTTACTGCATGAAAAAAATAGCATTGGGCTACACCGTGTGCTTGATGTCTGTGTGGTCGTTTCTCAAAATCTACGCCCCCATAGAATGTTGCATTACTCCAGTCAGGTAAGAATAGCAACTTTATGGAGTGCAAGGGTCCAGAAATATTATGGTAAAATGTATGTATCAACTGCCTATAATTCTTGTAAAACTTTTCCTCAATGATCTATTTCTGGGGGCTTTGAACTCTGATGTTGCACTTGCTTGGCTTGTTTGCTCAGCTGGCACTCTATCACTTGGGCAATGACTCCAGTGCAGCTTTTTGCTGGGTATTTTGGAGACTGAATCTCAGTGACTTTTCTGCCTGAGTTGGCTCTGAATCTCCATTTCTGATCTCAGCCTCCTGAGTAGCTAAGATTACAGGTGTGTGCCATGGGTATCATCTAGCAATGATAATTAATGATAGCTAGTTCCTAAGCTGTCTTGGAGTACTTTCTTAAATTTAATGATAAGATGGTAGTTAGGCAAATCTTACCTTGTCCAATCTAGTGGTGAAGTAGTTCCTGGTTATCAGATCAGGGATGGATTTAGAACATAGAAAATTAGAGGCTGTGGCTGACATAAGGTCCATTCCAGGAAATTAGTTGTAGAAAAGGAAAGACAGATATTAGAAAGAGTACAGAGAAAGCGAAAGTCAAATTTGTATGTGAGAGATAAAGAGAGGAGAATAAAGAAAACTTTAAGATAGCAACTAAATAAGCAATTTATGATGTTTTCAGGTGACAAATGCTAAGAAATTTTCTATAAAAACATTTACTGTAAGAGCCACCCACAAGTTCTTAAACACAAGCCATTTATTGGAAGACAGAAACATGAGGCTGTGGGTGTAGCTTAGTGGCAGAACCTGTGCTTAGCAGATGAGGGTCCTGGGTCTGATTCCAGCACCCCCCCCAAAAAAAAAGGGAGGAAATAAAAATGCCAGTTGCTTATGCAGAAAGACAGAAACTACAGGATCCTAGGTATCTTTCATAGCTTAATACAGGATATTTTTCAAAATTGATTCTGTATTGTAACACTAATAATTATCCAAAATAAGTTCATATTCCCAAGCACCTGGAAAAGGACTTGGTACATATTGTATACTCTCTGAATGTGAGGAATTATCACAATGAGAGCCTTTCCTATTATTTATTTTTTTTGGTTGGTCGTGGGGCTTGAACTCTGGGCTTGGGCGCTGTCCCTCAGCTCTTCAGCTCAAGGCAAGCGCTCTACCACTTGAGCTACAGTGCCACTTCCGGTTTTCTGGTGGTTTATTGGAGATAGGAGTCTCACGGTCTCTCTTGCCCGGGCTGGCTTTGAACCGCGATCCTCAGATCTCAGCCTCCTGAGTAGCTAGGATTACAGGCGTGAGCCACCAGCGCCCGGCCTTTCCTATTATTAAAGTATGCTTATTTTAAAAAAGTGTTTGTCAGTCTTTGGATATCCATAAAAACTGAGTATTGACTGAGTGCCAGTCGCTCACACCTGTAATTCTAGTTACTCAAGAGGCTGAGATCTGAGGACTGTGGTTCAAAGCCCATGAGTCTCTTATAAACTACCAAAAAAAGCCAAAAGTAGAGGTGTGATCCAAGTGGTAGAGCACCAGACTTGAGCATAAAAGCCCAGGGATAGGCAATCAATCGAAGCACTAGGACTGGCACATGTATACACACACACACACAGATTAGTATCAAACCTGATTGGTGACTATATAGTCCTTGTTATTCTGATGCATTGAATCATTTAATTACTCTCCACATTCTAATAAAATTAGGTCCCAGTTCCTCAGGCATACAGAGCCGAATGGCTCTGTAGTCAATGCTTAGCTGCTGAGTAGCAAATGGCCCCCAGTGTAGTTAGTTCCAACCCTGAACAGGGGGAACCTGTGATTTTTTTCCAACCAAAATAATGTGTGACATTGCTAGTCCTGGGTCTAAGCATTAAGAAGTCCAGCCACCATATGTAAAGAAAGCAGCAGTCTGGTCAGGGAGGAGGCAGGGTGCGGGGAGTCTTCTACCTATCCTCTCTAAGGTGCCAGGTATGTTCTGGCACCAACTGACTGCAACCATCAGAGAGACCCCAGGAGAGACGGGTAGAAGAGCAGAAGACCCACTGGCAGAAAACAGTCAACTCAGGAATCACAAGGCAATAAAACTGGTATTTTTTTTTATGGGTTAAAAGCTATGCTAGCAAAGAAAACTCATTTTCAAATAATCTGGAAAACTCAAGTATCCCCTGCAAGCCTCCAGAATCTGATCCTGCTGAGAAATCAGATATATAAGCAGAACCTTTACAGAATGTGTAGTAGGCGAGCTGTTTTGAAAGCACAGGCCTACCAAACTGCCCACATGGACATTTTCCTCTCAGCCTTTACTGGGTGGAGTTTTGCCTGTTCCTTGCCTGTCTGGCTGCTCTTGCTTCAAACATGTCATTATGGGCTAGCAGGCCTAGCAAGGAGCCGCTCAGGAGCCTTGTCTTCAAGAGCCTCTTTCTCCTCCTTTGGCTCACTGCATCTGGAGCAACCTGAGCTTGCAGCTCCCTGCTGGCCTCACACTCTACTGGCTCTTTATTTCTAGTTGTTCATCCTCTGTCTGCACATCATCCAGAGTGACCTGCGAGTGCCTGCTGGCCCTAGCTCTCACTCTCACTTCCAGAGTACGGACTGTGCCGCTGGCAACTGCATCGCAGCAATCTCAGCTCTGAGGCCTTCCACCTCTTCTTTTGGTGAGGCAATCTGCCAGTGCAGAAACGGCTGCGGGCAAAGGCAATGACTATTTCTCATTCATTTCTTTCGAAATACCTTCTTCTGAAAGAATGGTTTATCTCCTTTGTGATCTTGGTTTTACACTTGTCTTTTAAAGTCTCTGTTTTCTCTTGAGATCTGTCAAAATTCTTTGTACTCCCCATACGTTTTCTTCTTTAGATAAATCCTTTATCCTACTCTACAGGTCCCAATGTAAACAATCCAAAAGAAGCTCCAGCCTTCTGCTCTCTTTAAGGCCAGCCTGGGTCTCTGGCAGTGTGGGCACCGTGGCCATGATGGAGCAGTGCAGAAGTCTCATCACTTGCTCTTTG